GCTGCCAGGAGGGGCCTTACCTGCTGCAGAGCTCTCTGAATGTCGATACCCTGGCCCCAGGGCACAGCTGGGTTAGCCAGACAGTCCCCAGCATTCCCCCGGCGGGAGATATCGATCCTCTGCCTCCGCAGACTCTGGAACGCTTCGGCCATCACCTTCACTCCATCATAGGTGAGCGCAGAGGTGTACTGGTGGGAGGAATGGAGACAGGTAGGGAACAGAGAGAGGTGAATATGGTGGGAGCAGTGATGGCGCGTGCACAGGGCCAGGTGAAGGGGGGCCTGTGGTAAACCAGGAACTGCCTGCTTTGACAGATGGGGACATCAAGGCCATGCTGCCCTTCTGAATTGTGAGTTGGATCTTGCCGGGGATGATTTTTGAAGAGAAGCTAGAATTCTAGATTTCTGTGTGCAGTCTTCGGTGCTTTAAACTTGAGTTGCTGCTGTGGTGGGTGGGGAGGAGAGCACCAATGAAATAGAACATGTCTGCGGCCAGATATACCCCTGAAGGACCAGTTAATTTTCTCTGTGTTACAATGACCAATTGGGAGCCAAGAGGAGTTATTTACTCCACTATCTCTTGTGACAGTAAAAGAACAAAAGAATCCAAGAAGAGAAAGCCTTTAATTATTTCTCACATGACTTGCCCAAGTCCTGAGATTACCTCCTGCAAATTTTCCTCTTGTTCTTAACCTTAAAAATTCTCAATATGTGTATTATTTCTATGTTAACCATCTGGGGACTAAGGTTGGATGAAACAGGACCAGGATGATAGTCCAGGGCAGGATTTCCTGGTTTGGAACTGACATCTATTTCTTCACTAATATGCTCCTGATACTTAGCTTCCTGCCTGGCACATTGTACATTCACAATAGAAAGTTGTAGAATGTATGTATATATGTCTTTCCAATTTCTGGCTCAGAGTCTTTCCCACCTTACATCTGAAACACTTCTATTGCATATGGATTTCTTGGCAAGCTGCTCCAATCTTTGGATGTGAGAAAGGATATTCCCAT